TGATCGTCCCAGGACGATTCTCGATCGGCCTGGACGATATGTACAGAACTGCTGTTACAGGTTTGACACCATTAGGGAACATACGGGTTTTGGTCGTGATCATAATATAATGGTGTCATTTACAGTAAAACCATCTGATTAGATGACATGTGCCACGTCCCTGCTGGCAAGAGACCATTTGAGAATAAAACTTAGTGATATACCCGAAAGAACATTCGCTCTTTGTGAGTTGAGATTAATTTCAAATTTACACCCCCGACAAATAGTTGCGGGAGGTGGATGTGTTTAAGTTGTAAGTTTTTAAGTGATATATTTTATTTCAGGGATTTAGACTTTTGTTGGATTTGAGATTTGATCTCGCTGGTTGAGATTTTCAATCAACACGGTCATCATCAGGATGATTTATGGGCATTTGCATTTGTGGATTGAAGCTCGTCGACTTTGTCAATTTGCCGATATAGGATCGTGTTCATGCTTGACTTCACCTGTTAACCCGCACAACATTCCTAAACGTCACATGTGTTTTCATAATACGCTCGTCGGGGCCCATGAGGATATTTGGGGGGTATTTTATGATTTAAATAAGTTCAACTCCGTTCTTTTTGTAGAGAAGGATAAAACTTGAATATTTGACCCATATAGTATTCTCGGACTGTTGAATTTATGAATCATTTGACACGATCAGAGCCAATGTGGATTGTAGCATTTGACCCAGTGCATCATTCTAGGATATTTGTATTTATAACTTTAATATGTTTCCCCGAGCACATGCAAGAAGTTATTTTCAAATGTATTTTCAGTACTATCGTAACTTGTCGCCTTCTGTCCGCTTGTAGAAGTAGGATTGTGGATCCGGTGGCATGGCATCACACTGTGATTATTTGCCAATTTCTTTGTACAAGTAAATTGTCGTGCACTATTTTTTGCTTTATGTAGGTGGATTGTAGTACACAAACTAATCTCTTATTATGATTCATGGAGGCCTGCAGTTGTTATATATTGTTTGCCATTATTTATAAGGGATCAGTGTATTCGAATTTACATTGTATGGAGATCGGCTGCACGGATATCATAGTCTCCATTACTTGTTGTTGATTAGCACTCGTAGACTTGTTGTGATTGTGACGAATCTTCTATTACCGCCAATAGGTGGTTCGTCATTATCTACAGGTGGACTATTGTATGCATGATAATCTTTCTACGACCACTTGTGGGCAAGCTGCAGTGTCTTCTCACATCTATATCCCTTCACCAATATTCTCAGATGAATGTGATAGGGGCTGCCACATGTTCTCGTATGACATTTATGAAAAATATCATCAAATTTGACTTTATTTCTTTTGAAGCTAAATGTGTCCACTTCTGCTTTGAAGCGAGTTCAGATCTGAGTCCAATTCGAGTTTAAGTCTGACATTATTTGATGAAATTTGATTTAAAATTGATTTTATGTTTGAATTATGTTCAAAGAAATTTCCAATTTTCTGTTCAAGTCCACTGTTGTTTATTGAAAATTTCGGCAACCTCCCAGCATCCCTCCCCGTGAGGAGAGGTAGGGAGGGAACTTGTGCCCTTTCAAACCCTCCCGGCCCGAAAGATAATCAATGGTCGAGGGCTTTGGGATGTTGTCGGGTCCCAAAATCAGTCTTCAGAGGTCTATGATGATTGTTGATTGCAGATAATTGCCGATTGAGTGATTTTATTTAAGTTAAAAAAAATATTTTTGAATCCCCTAAAAAATCCGGTAGCCTTCTAGTGCCCCCTCCCCTCGTGGGGACGTTGCGGATGACACTTGCCCTTTCAATCCGTCTAGTCAGAAAAATAGTCAACGACCAAGGGCTTCAGGACATTGTTGGGTCCCGGAATCGATCCCGGAAGAGGAGAAGGAAGCACGGCGGCGAAGGTCGACGGGCTTCAGCGGGTTCGAGACGTCGGCGGGCTTCGACGGGAATAGCGAAAGGTAAGTTTCGGAACTTGATTTCTTCCTTCTCTGTGTGCCTCTGGTTCTGAGAGCGTAAAAATGTAAATTGGGAGTGTTTCGTTGTTTTGTGCCGTGAGGAGCGAACGTGGGATCGTGGGGAGCAGTTGATAAACAAGTAAATGTCTTATTAAGATAACTGTGACACCTTCAACTTGTACTTTCGATACTCAGCCTACTCCTAGTCAGCCACCATTGGCGGATCATAATGAAATACTTCTTTCAATTATATACTTTATTTTCTAAGCCTAACATTTTTATATACATGGTGGAAAACATTACAATGCCCCTATGAAGGCTTTAATATTAAACATAAACTTAAATAAATTTAAGCCCTTTTTCATCTTTCATCTGCAGAAAAATAACAAAAGAGACCATCCTGTCAAAGGAATTTGACATCACCTATGTTGGTATTAAGCAGTATTGGTCAAGAATCTTTGCTACCTAAGGAAGAAAGGAAGTTACAAGTCAAGTCAAATATATTCTCAATAAAGTACAATTCATCCTTCTTCTGTGTGTTTTGAAGTGAAGCGAACTCAATAAATTAAAATGACTTTTAGCAAGTACCAACAATCAACAGTTAGAATAGTCTTAAAAAAAAAAAAGATTAATGAAAATCTATACAAGAATTCTAAAAGAGATTTATCATTATCTCAAGGAGCATATATATAAAAAGAAAATAAAATAAAAACGAATGTTTCTAAAGAAAACTTCATTTTTTGGTAGGAAAAATATTAAGGATGACTTTTCTTTTGTAGTTGGATGGATTCAACGAATTAGTGAGTTCTCAAATTTGGCAATAGCCACCAAATTGACTCATCAAAGAAAATTGAGAATTTCCTCAAAAAGATGACTTCATCTTTAAATTCTACTTCTTGCCTTTGAAATAATATGAAGATGACCACATAGAACAACAAACTTCTCCATTAATTAACTCAATTGAATTTTATCAGCTTCTCCAAAAAATTGAAGCTCAAGGACTCTCTTACTAGTTTTTGTGTTCTCAAGCCCTCCTTGAAAGGTCAGTGCCCTTATCTTCATTGATTCAAAATCTTTGAGTATATTCTCAAACTTACTCATTAGAACTAAAGTAATTTGTTTGACACTCAGCAACTTCAAACTTGATACTTGAGCAGATCCCCTATGTTCGCTTAAACCTCATGATTGACATCCTTTACTTCTCCTTTCGAACTAGTGGCGACATCATTATATTCATTACCAGCAGTTGATTGCTTTGGGACGTTGGTAATTTGATCATTCATAAAATTTGGCAACTTGCTAGGCGCAGTTAAGGTATCACTCATATGTTGCTTCATCAAATTCATCTAGGACGATCCAATAAAATAGAGTTGCAATTGATGTATGTTTATGGACACCTCAAAAACGACCTCATTTTTCTTGCCCATGTAGCCTCCTCATTTTCTACTTTTTAGTTTTCTTATAAGGAGTTGCAAAAGAAGTCTTACTAACAGTTTTACAATTTTTTTGCTTCTTATAGCTTTCCAGTAAAATTCTAATGTCTTCTTTACCAATAAAATCCTTGATTTCTTTATATTTCAAAGTATGAGAAAGTTATCTCAAGATCTTTAGAAGGAAGTCATATAGTAGTTATAGACTAGAAGCATTCAATATATTGAGTACATGTCAAGTCCACATAATTAGTCATGATCAATGTGACAGTTCATCAAGAACTTTGTGGGTGATTTCTTGATTTTTTTTCATTTTTTCGAATTATGTGAAATTTAAGGCAAGATCATTAGAAGAAATTTATGAAGTATTTATAGACTACAAGTAGTCAATATTTTGACCACATGTCAAATCCTCATATTTAGTCATGATCAATATGACAACTCATCAAGATTATTATTTTATTCTCTTCTTCTATTACGAATTACATCAAAGAGATAAGAGAATTAGGAAATTAAATATAGACCTTGCATAGGCCTAGCTAGATTGGTCTCATCGATTAAAATAGATTGAGTTCAATACAAGTCAACCAACTAAATTAAATTAATTTAACACCAAATATATAATGATTTCACAGTGTGTTCGGTTACCAATGTTATTTAGCATAATCCTTGGTATCGAGATCATTGAAGTTGCCAAAGATATTTGCTCAAATCGTGAATGCTCCTCGCCCAAGTTCTCACTTGACTTCACCAAGACTTCTAAAGATGGTCATTACCCCTAAGACTTCATTGGAATTTATCGTGTTCGAGTGAAGTCAACAATGACTTTACTTGAATTAATTTTTCTTAGAACTGTTATTTGCTTGTTGTATGATTTACTTGTATATAACCTTTTTTTAGCATTATGCCTCAATCTAAATCTATAAATAGGGGGTTCTAGCATGGGCTTAACATATCAAATCATTTACATCATACTTTTTGGTAATCTAGTGAAATCCTCTCTACAAGTTCTCTTTCGCCCTCTTTTTTTTTTTCTCTTTATCTTGATTTATTTTATTAGTAAAATTATAGTGTCACCTAGAGGCAAATTTGGATCCAACTCTCCATGTATTTTTTTAACCCTTTACCTCAAACAAATTTCTGCCTTGCCAAGTGGCACTGTAAGATAAATTTCCTTTAATTCATCATTTATTTTTCTCTTATGCATGGATGATCAGGGACCTGTATATTCAAAGCCTTTCAGTGTGACTTGGGAGAGCTAGTAGAGTAACCAGTGTAGACCCTAGAAATAAGAGATGCAATCTATAGCTGCGACTTCGGAAGTTCCATTTACCAGGTAAATCCTTCAAACAATGAAAAAACTGTTTCTCAGTTAATGTTATTTGATTTGCATTTCTTGTTCCATTTGTTTACTGCTCCGATCGAATGTCTCTTTGGTTTAACCTATGATGCACGGACACAGACACGGCGACACGGACACGACACGACACGGACACGAGACACGGTTTTTTTTGAAAATATAGGACACGGGTACGGCGCGGACACGGCAATACATTTTTTTTATTTTTTATGTGTTCATTTTTTCTTTGTGAGGCTAGTTTAGTTTCTTCCTTTGCCTGCTTTTATGGAGACGTGTTGGGTGTGGTAGCACTGCTAATGAGCTCTCCAGTTGAACTGCAGATGATTTTGTAGCAATGTTTAAGAGTAGAACTGGCTATCAAATAGTGGAGCCTGCACATATGGTACATGTTCATTATACTTTCTTTTGATTTGTATTTACAAGCATTTTTTACATTGTTTTCTTGAGTTAGGATTTTGATGGTTTGATTGATTTGTTCAAAATAATTAATAAAAGTTGCTGCAGCTTTTTCCAAGAATTCCATTGAAATATGATTAAAGTTCAAGTGGGGTTTCATAAACATTTGATGAGTGCTTCTGTAATGAAAGAAATTAAAAATTCCTTTGAAGTGTGGATTTGTGCATTAAATCTTTTTATACGCAAGCTACCCTCATTCATGTTAGTTATAAAAACTTCTGGAAAGAAGTGGAAGATTTAGTCAAGTTTTGTTAAAAAAGTAGAACGTGTCTTCAAAAAGAAAGTTGCACGATATATATGCATTTCTTTGTTAAGTTATCAAGATAGTTCTTAGCTTGGTTTAAAAAGCAGCAGTATATAGCGGTTTTGGAACCGTTGTAAGGAAAAAAAAAAAGCAGCAGCTTAAATGGAAAAACGTAAAAAGAAATCCAAAAATGAGAGATTCTTTTTATCTTTTTTTTTTTTTCACGTATCCAAGAATCGTTTTTTTGACATTATTAAATCAAACTATGTGGAGCGCATATTACAGTTGATGCAGTAGGACTAGGTGTCTGAGCTTTTGCTGGAAGCTTGATCCAATCTGGTTCAGTTCCTTCGTAGGTTAGGTAGAGATTTTGGAAAGATTTCCAATCTCGAATAGCCTAGTCTAGTGTGGAACTCTTCACATACATGTGTTGACTGTGTTTCTCTCCATATATACTTTTAAGATTTAACTGACCTTGTTTAGTGTGGTAGGGTTCTTCTGCTTCTGATGTTACTTGCGTAGTTTCAATGCTGTGTTTGAAATGCTTTTATTTTAATCTTTGAAATGTCCTGTGAAACTCATTCGAGTCCAAATTAAAAAAGTGATAAGATCGTAGTAGCTTTTCAACAGTCCCATGAATTAGATTAAAATAAAGCATGTTTATAACCGAATAAACTTTATATGAGAGCCATCTAACTGTGGAAGAAGGCAGCATATTTCTTGTCGTGTTGTGGGAAGACCTAGAAGGTTTAACATCTATATCAGATAGGCTTTTCTTTGATTGTGAATCCCTTATATTTTCTTGCTCTGCGTTGTTTATTGTTTTATTATGGAAAAATAAAAACATGAAAAATTATTTTGAATTTTATTTCTTATTTTTTGTACATAAATTGGAGGTATTGTTAGTCTACTCCAATCGGTTTTTGTACATAGATTGGAGGTATTTATAGTTTCCTCCGAGGACATTTCATATGAAAAAAGTAACTATAATTTATACAAAATAAATAAAAAATAAAAAGAGGGCCGACAAGTAGATGATAATCCAAGGTTAAGAGAAAGAAGATCCAATAGCTAAGCTCCTTATTTTGTGTGCTCAATAGATCATATTAAGATTAGTTGCATAGTGGGACTCACAACTCTTCTACCTTGGGTGGAAATTTGGTTTGAGCGGATGTAGGAAGGAGGCAGAGGAGTAGGTCCCACTATGGGGGATCCCATTGTTTTCTTGGATGGTATAATTGTACCATTCAAAGTTTGTTTATAACCTTGTTGAACTTGGGGTTGTAGAATCATTTGGTGAATATATCAGCAAATTGATTTGCTATTGATATGTGTGGATTACAAATCAACTCACTCTCTAGTTTCTCTTTTATAAATGCACCTTTATATGCTTGGTAGGATTATGTTCTATTGGGTTATGAGCAATGATGATGACATATTTATTATCAAAGTATATTTGTAGGGGCTCTTCACACTGATTTTTAAATCTTCTAAGATTATTTTGATGCCCAAAAGTTTGCAGACTTTAAGGGCTATTTCTCTAAATTTAGATTCATAGCTAGATCTTGGAACAATTAGTTGTTTTTCGCTCCTCCATATTATGAGATTTCCTCCCAAGAAAATATCTTGAAGTAGATCTTCTATCTCCTGGTGATGTTGCATAGTCTACACAATATAAACTTAAATTTGTAAAGTATCTTGCTTTTTGTAGAGAAATATTTAATTTGTCTTGGAATTCTATAAGTAATTTTTTAGGTAAGACTCTTTAGGTCTATGGATGAATTGACCAATGAGATTTACTAAAAAAGCAATGTCTATACGGGTAGGGGATAAAGATTAGTTTTTCAACTAATCTTTGATAATGTCCCATATCTGCTTCCGCTCTTTTATTTGCGTTAATTTTTAACTTGGTTCAATTGGAATTTCACAATGTTTGCAATCAATCAATTTTGTCTCTTTTAGTAGGTCCATAATATATTTTTTGTTGAAAGAGATCTTTTTTGTTTTGATTGAGCAACTTCTATATACATTAACTATTTGTGTTTGCCCAACTTTTTTATCATAAATTCTTTATCAAGTTTCTTTTGAGGTACTTCTTTTCTTTATTGTCATCAGTTTTTGTAGATATATCATCAACATATACACTAATAATTGAGATATTATCATCAGTGGACTGTTTTTAAAAAAATATATATTCTCTCTTTGGCTTTGTTTGTATCTAGTTTCAAGTATGCCTTTTGTAAGTTTGCCAAACTATACTCTTAGGTATTGTTTAAGTCGATATAAAGCCATTTTCAATTTGCACACTTATTCTCTGCAAATGAGCTATTGAACTCTAGTGGAAGATCCATATGGCCTTTTTCAATTTCATGTAAGAAAGCATTCTTTACATAATATTATTGCATAAACCGACCAAGATTAGCCATTAGAGAAATCATTATGCGAATAATATTCATTTTTACAATAGGAGCAAATATTTCTTGGTAGTCAATTCCATAAGATTGAGTACTAATCTTGTCTTGCGGAATTATAGACTCTCATTTGTTTTATATTTTGAAGAAATCTACTTGCATCTAAATTTTTTTTTTTCCTTTAAGTAGTTCAAGAATTTCTCAAAGTGTAAGTTTTTTCCAAGGCATTTGTCTTCTTTCATAACATTATTCCAATTTCTATTTTAAGTGTCTCAAATATGGTTTATTTTATTGGAATGAAAGTGGAGTTGATATTTGTTAGAGTATATATATATATATATATATATATATATATATATAATAGCATCCTTTGAGGTAAGGAATTTTTATCTTATGATGGTAATACTTGCACCTTTTTGAGTGGATAAAAATACATTTGAGGCTCTTGTATCAAGTTTAGTCTCATGCTATTTGTGGATATGGACATATGCAATTCACCAAAATATTTTTAGAGAAATTTTAGAGAGGAAGTACTTTGTGTGAAAAAATTCTGCCAAATAGTTTAAAGGACTTTTATGGTCAATCACTTTTATTGATATTCTATTGATTTGGTAAGTAGAAGTTAGAACAACTTCTCCCCTATATCTTTTTGGTACATGACTTCAGAAATAAAGTTTCTTGATGACTTATAGAAGGTGATGATTTTTTCTTTCTGCCATCCCAATTGGGGAAGTATCACAATTTAAGGATTGATAAATGATGTCTTCTTTATGAGAAAAAGAGAATGTGTGATTGAACTAATTACAAGTATTATCTGTTTGAAATATTTTGATATGGGTATTCAATTGATTTTTTTATCATGGTAGTGAAAGTGAGAAGGATAATATTGACATCATATTTTTATTTTATAAAATTTTCCCATATTATTCAAGTGCAATCATCAACAAAAATGACAAATTTAGTAGCTCCAAAAATGTTGAGGATTTTTTAGGGTCCCCAAATATTAGAATGAATTAACATAAGAAATATAATGATAATAAGGAAGAATTTCTACAAGAAAGGAGAAGAAAAAGAAAGAATTTCGACAAGAAAGGAGGGGAAAAATAAAACAAAGGTCGGAAGAATAAAACACTAACCTTGCCTAATACCATGCAGGAAAATAAAAATATAAAAAAATTACTTTGAATATTATTTCTAGCTTTCTATATATATAGATTTGTGATATTTATAGCCTCCTCAAAAGGATATTATATATGAAAAAAAAAAAGTAAATGTATTTTAAACAATAAATAAATAATCCAAAATGAGGGTCGATGGCTAGGGAAAGGGAGAGGAGCACATGGATTACAATCTAAGGGTAAGAGGGAGAAGATTCAATAACTAAGTTAATCAATCCATGTGCTCGATACATCAACTCTGATTAGTTGCATAGTAGATACATTATAACTATGATTAGTTGCATAGTAGAACCCATCTTTTTTACCTAGGGTGGAAATTTGGGTTGGGAGGATGCAGGAAGGAGGTGAAGTGGATCCCACGCTGTGGTACCCCTTCAGTCTTCAACACTTATCTGTTATTTGCATCACATGTGAAATTAATTTGTTGGTTTGTTCTGTATAGAGCTTTCCATGCGCAGGAATGCTTATTGCTTTACTGTTTGTTGAGCGGAAAAATAAAAATCAAGCTTAATGAAACAAAACATGGCTATAACAACAAAATTCTTGAATTACAGGAGTTGGCAGAGCCAGCGATTAAAGATGCATTCAGACGATGCGTGCAGCAAGGAGCAAACCATATTATTGTCAGCCCATTTTTTCTTTTGCCAGGGAGACATTGGCATAAGGTATACTCTTAAACTAGTTTGTACTTTCTTTTGAAATGTTACAATCTAAAATAGAAATATGAAATAAAGAAAACTGCAATATTTCATCATTGTATTGCCGAATCCAGGACATCCCTGCATTAGTAGCCGAGGCAGCTGGAGAGCACTCTGGCATATCCTATATCATAACTGCACCGCTTGGCTTGCATGAACTCATGGTGGTATGATTTCATTGCATTCTTTCTTTTTTTCTTCATTTACTACGTCAGGTGAATGTAGTTCAATATGGTTATGTTATCATTATTAATTTCTGACGAAGTAGGCTGAATGTCTAAATGTTCTAAAATTAAATCCCTGTTCCCAAAAAAAATGCACTCAACGAACACCCACTGGCATACCCCTAGCCATCTCCCAAAGGGCTCAACCTTTTGCATTTCAGAGAACCCTTGTTGGATGTTATTAGCAAGTTCATTTTGTAAACTAAAGTGGGATGGGCCTACGGGTGTAATCAAACTAGCTTGATACTCACCTTTGTTTGGCTTGATTGTGTTCGTTTAGTTGATTGAACAAACTTTAACATGATTTAATGAATAAATATGCTTGGACATAGTTCATTTTTTTGTTGTTTTTTGTGAGTATGTTCATATATTGTTCTACAGGCAGCTCAATAAGTGCTTGATAGAAAACTTAACTCTGCTTGCATTGCACCCTTTTTTTATGATTGGGTTCATTCTCTTATCCAATTTGTTTCATTCTAAGCACTTGCAGTAGGGTATATTGGTTGCGGTATCACCTATGATGCACAGACACGGACATGACATCACGACACGGACACGTCAATTATTGAAAATATAGGACACGGACACGGGTTGAACACGGTATTATAGTTTTTATATTTTAAAAATAGTGTAAAAAATTTAAGTGTGTGTAATTTTAAAAATAATTTAGAGATAATAAGTCATTTAACTAGAATTTGTGCTTAAAATGATAGTATTAGGATGTTGAGAGTCAAGCCTCGATGCCGTTTATCAGTCACCGAGATAGGAGATGAAAATACCATCACTGCCAAAGAGAAATGAAAATAAGAATATTCGATAAATGGGTATTAAGTGCGGAACGTTGATTTGGTGTTGTGGATAGTAAATAAGAAATTTTGTTTAAATCCTGCCAAATATAAGAAATTATATTTTAAAAAAATAATCATAAAATATCTAAGATAGGTGCGTCGGATACGTGTGCCCAATTTGTATTTAATATTTTTTTAATTGGACACATTTTCGGCGTGTCTGACACGTGTCAGAGGAGTGTCGTGTCGGATACGTGTCGGACACTGCACGCCTCTTTGAGGAGAAGTGTCGGTGCAGGGTATCACTTAAATAATCTATTTTATAGCAAATTGAATCGAAAGATAGTTCAATTTAATTCTTTTTTTTATCAATAGTATTGAATTTTGAAGAAAATTAAAAAAAAAGTAGTAAATGTCTTCCACCGAGCCACAGTACCGAGCATAGGGTGATGTGGCACATTCTGGTTGGTCTCCGGACGGCGTTCGGCGTCTGTATAGATTAATTTTTCTCTATTAATAATCAAATTCTCATTTCCAAAATTGTTATATATATAAACATTTTAAATCTAAATATGTTATATTCTGTGTAGGATGTGATGAATGATCGGATTAAGCATTGCCTCAGCCATGTTGCTGGTAAAGCTGATGAATGTTCAATGTGTGCTGGTACAGGAAGATGCCATTTATATTGATTGTATTGAAATGGTATTTTATGATCAGAAACTGCTGCATATATCACAGCTGTTGATGAACCATCATATTTTATGATGTTTTGGATCGTTTTTCTGCTCTATATCTTCTTACCTTGCATTTGCTGTATTAGTTTTTTTTTTTTTTTTGGTTCATAGAACAGATTTCCCATCGTATTTTACCACTGCTATATTATTCATTTATAGCTGACACGATGAAAACAAAAATCGGCAGATTTTGATTGCAAACTGCTGTGAATTGGTGTTTTAACTTTGTTTGGGATGACTTTCTTGTTGCTTGTTAAAGCAGTTTTTTTTACAATAATTAAGAAGCAACAAAAAAGCCGCTTCAAGAAGCGATAAAAAAGTTATACCAAATGAAGCCTTAGCCTTAGATTTTGTTTGAAATAGTTTTCTTATTCTTTCTTAAAGCAATTTTTAGTATAAAAATTAAAATTCTAATATTAAATGTTTGGGTTCTGTTTTGATTTGCTTAGAGTTCTACTATTTATTATATTTATTAATGATCATATTCATATTCATCATATTATTTCAACATTTCATCTTGCCACCACGTATTTAACAACATAGTTAGTTGTGATATATATATATATATATATATATATAGGTTCGGGTCAAACCTGAAAATGATTAGATTGTAGTTGACCCGACTCGTTTTTGCAGACGGGTCAAGTATTTTAATCCGGATTTGACCTATGTGGGTTTTTGGGTTGACTCGACCCGATCCTGGGATATGTTATCATTTAAACAACGCGACATGATGCTGCTTGCGACGGTGCAGGCGGGGTGAGGCATCAATGGCTCAGCGGGTTGGCGCGGTTCTGGGCGTTGGAACCAAACGGCAAGCTCAGGTGCTGAGCATAACAGGCAGCAGTGGCATTGTTAGTGGTGGCATCGATAGCGTCGTCAGCGGGACGTGACTCACGCCAAAAGACGTGATGCAACGTGACTCACGCAATGTGACGAGACTTCATGCGTGTTAGTGGGATGGGACAAGACTTCAAACGAGTTAACCCGGATTGATTTCGGGTTTCTGGGTCAACCTGAATCCAATCAGTTTTTTCAAACTGGTCAAATTCGCGAACCCGAACCAGTCCTATTTGAGAAATGGGTTGACTTTAATCCGAAATTTTAGGTTCGGATTCAAATCGAATTTTTAGGTCGTGTCAAATTTTGACACCCATACTTTATATCTTGCAGCTAACAAATAAACACATTTATTCACTGAAGAAAACCACCCAATATTTTTCTTACACTAATATATTTAGTTATCATCTGAATAAAGATATTTTTAAAATGATATTAATAAAGTGATATTATTTTCAGTTTATGACCAATATGATAAATATTAAGCTAATAATTAGACATGAATTAACAATCCAATTTTGCTTCTTATCAACATATGAGAATTAAATATTAAATAAATATAAAATGGAAATTAATATTAAATTAATAAATTTATATTTTGATTAAAATTAGACGAATCATTGACATCATGCATTTTGCTAAGGTAGACTTGATTAAATATGAGAAATATTATATATATTAAATTCGGTCAGAACTTGGGTCAGGCCTTATATTAAATTCTGTCAGAACTTAGGTCAGGCTAAAATTTAGCTTGAGCTCAATAAAAAAAATATTAAATTATATAATATTATAGCCGGATTTATTACAAGCCTATTCATAATATAGATAATTGTATTAATTGTTTTAAAGCAAAATATTTTAGCATTCACTTGATTGATTGGAAGTTAAAGATAAATCCTTTTTTTTTATTTTACGTTTTATTACTTATTCTTTATTAAAATGAAGCATAGTAAATTACCTTTGTCCTTTTATTCATCTCTTTGTAGCTCAAGCTTTTATATGGAAATAAATTATATCATAATATTATAATTAAAATATTATCATGATAAATTAAAAATTTTAGAATTTAAGATAAATATAATATAAGTTGAAAATTGATTTTTTTTGCTATGACTACTATTAAAAATTGACTTAAAAGATCAATGGATAAATGATCACTTTTGACTTTATTAAAAATCAACCTCTTTTGACTTTATTAAAAATCAACCTGATTCGAATTTGACTCATTAAATTATTTTGATTAATTTTATTAAACTTAATAACTTTAAAGTTTATGATATTTAATAAAAATAAGAAGATTATACTCATAATAAAAAAAGAAAAAAAAAAAAACTAAATGGGATATTTTAGAATCAAAATAGAGTTCGTGGATCGACTTGAACCTACCCGTATAATAAACGAGTCAGAAATCTCAATTTGAACCTAATCCATTTATTAAGCGGGTCAACTTTAACTAGGATATTTTAGATCGGTTCATTTATTGACACCATTATAAATTATAAGTTTTTATCGTCCTATATTTTCTCTTTTTAAAATAATAAATCCAGCAATTTTTTAAACTAGCAATGTATATCTCAATGCTGGACAAAAAGGTGAGGGAATATTTGAAAAAATTAATTTGTGTCTCCTTTAGAAATTTTTTTTGACATTGCCATTGACAGCTAACCCTTCAAATTTAGTATTTGGATTGAATAACTTCTTTGGGACCTGTAATGCTTTTAAAGACTTGCAATGTTTTATGGTGCAGAATGTTAACCATTAAAAGTGAATTATAATATTAAGTTAAGTGTTGCAGAGGTGAGGATATACAGGTGGATGAGCGTCTTTACTTTTAGAGATAGGATACAAAATGAGCTTACACATGAATAGGTTGGAGTAGCTCCAATGAAAGATAAGATTAGAGAGAGTCATTTTAGATGATTTGGTCACTTAAAACAGCAATCTTCCAATGGCCTGATTAAGAGAGTAGATGTATTAGATTTGACTTATGTTAAGAAAGATAGAGGACT